ATTCTGTATTATATATAAAATTTATTAGCTTCATATTTCTAGTATAATGAAGAATTATTAGACAAAAATAACAATATCCAGTTCTTCAAATTGATACATTGTTTATAAGAATTAATTAACAATTTGGTTTTTTTTTAGTATTGCCTGTCCAGTGAGCCAACAAAGCCATGCTTGGTTCTAACTTTCAAAGGAACCACGCTGATGTTGGATTGTGGTTTAAATATGCAATCCATTTTGCATTTCATGCCTTTGCCCATGGTACCTAGCAATAAATTTAATTCCTTGCCAACGTGGCTGCCACGCAATGATAATCAACAAGATTGGCAAATTGAGGGAGTTAGTGAGATAGAATTTAATTATTTAATTCTTTTCAGTATATTAATTATTAAATTATTTTAAACAGCAATTGCAAATCATTATTTTTATTTTAAGGAGCTGAAAGAATGTTGCGGTAGAGTTTTTGTAGATTCAGTTCCAGAATTCACTCCTCCTTTGGAGAAAATAATTGATTTCTCAGAGATCGATGCCATTTTGATATCCAACTATACATGTATGCTCGCGTTGCCGTTCATAACGGAAGGCACAGGTTTCAAAGGTATAACAAGTGTATGCAAAATGATACACTTTGATAAAAATTATGTACAGATATAAGTAAAAGGACTATTATCTTGGATGATAGATGTAGCAAAATGTCACAGGATTATTTCAATTCCTTTTTACAAGAATTATGAAAAAAGTCTTATGCATTGGAGCCATATGTATCACTGTTATTGAAGAAACTATCCCAACATTTAAATCTAGTTATAATTTTTTTAGCAAAGAGTGTATGTGTATACAGGATGTTTGGCAACAAGTGGGAGAAAATTTAAAAAGTGATTCTCTCTAGATGATAAAATAAGTTAAAAATAAAAAATAAAATTGCGAATTTGACTTCACTTTTTTATATGCATATGTGAACATTAATGCTCATGTGAAATAAATAACATTCTTTCATTGTAAAACGCTACGAATTAATTCCAACATCTAATAATTAAGAAACATTTATAATAAGAAGCGAAACTGAATTTGCAATTTCATTCTTGATTTTCGTCTGATTTTTATTATTTAGAATTTTTTAATTTTCTTCCATCTATTGCCACTCTGTGTATGTTTTAATCTATAAACACAATAATTCGAAGGTATAATATATGCTACCGAACCGACATTGCAAATTGGACGGTTTTTCATGGAGGAATTAGTAGAGTTTATTGAGCGGACTCCTAAAGCAACAATGGCCAAACATTGGAAGGACATGTTACATACGTTGCCATCCCCATTAGCTGAGGTTGTTAAACCAAAAACTTGGAAACATATTTATTCCATGACGGCTGTGAATTCGGCGCTATCAAATATTCAAATGGTTGGATATGATCAAAAGCTGGTAAGTTTAAGACGTACGCAAATTAACATATTAAGATTTCTTCACAATCAGCGATTTCATAAGATAACCCAATCACATTCGAATTATTTGCAGGATATATATGGTGCTTTAACAGTGACACCAATCAGTTCGGGATTCTGTTTAGGTAGTAGTAATTGGTTAATCTCTAGTGACCACGAAAAAGTTGCTTTTGTCAGCGGTTCGTCTACATTGACTACTCATCCAAAGCCCATGGATCAAGTCACATTGAAGCACGCAAATCTGTTGATTTTGACAGGTTTAACACAAACGCCAACTGCTAATCCAGACACTATGCTTGGGGAATTGTGCATGACTGTTGGTAAGTATAATCTTAATATCTGATAAATTGTGATATACCCAGCAAAAAGATGATCTCTTAATACTTTGATTAAAATCATATTTCCTGGGAGAGAATTAAATAAATGATAAAATCAATTAATTTTTCTTACGAGATTTTTTTTCTGACAAAATTGTTTTCTTTATTAAGTGTATTATTATTCGAATTTTTATCATTATTATTTTCTGAACAAAAATATCATTTAATGATTTTATCTTATCACGTAAAAATGTTGCAGCTGTGACTCTTAGAGCTGGTGGATGCGTCTTGATACCTTGTTATCCCTCCGGCGTTGTGTATGACTTATTCGAGTGTCTGAGCACTCATCTAGACAAGTCAGGCTTCACACAAGTGCCTCTATTCTTTATCTCACCTGTGGCGGAGACATCTTTGGCTTATTCAAATATTCTTGCTGAATGGTATAATCAATGAAGTGATTCTAAAATATTTCTAATATATTTCTAACATATTCTATTATTTTTTATTTTGTATTTTACTATCATTTTTTACTTTTAGGCTGTCAACAAATAAACAAAACAAAGTTTATCTTCCAGAAGAACCGTTTCCACATGCTTTCCTCGTGAAGAATGCTCGATTGAAGCATTATACATCTACATACGCTGAAGGATTCAGCAATGATTACCGACAGCCTTGTGTCGTCTTTTGCGGCCATCCCAGCCTTCGATTTGGCGATGCCGTGCACTTCGTGCAGTTATGGGGCGGCAATCCTTTGCATACTGTAATTTTTACCGGTAAGTCTACTTAATTCTATTCAGAAAATAATAAGTTTGCAATAAGTTTGTGTTTGCAATTCTATATTGAGTAAAAATCCTAGAAATAGGATAAATTATTTAATCAACATTGGCTCCATTACGATGGTTGAGTCTTTTCTAAAAATTCACTTTATTATTCAGAACCTGATTTTCCATATTTGGAAGCCCTCGCACCTTTTCAACCGTTGTCTATGAAAGCAGTGCACTGTCCCATCGATACCTCTCTGAACTTTACTCAGGCTAATAAACTGATTCGAGACTTGAAGCCAGAGCATTTAGTAATTCCGGAAGTTTACACACAACCTCCTGGAATGGCACCACATAGAACGGATCTTGTCATCGAATCCATTGGGGTAGATATACGTTTTTTATTTAATAAAAAATTTCTGATTTTTATATAATTTATGTTTACAATTCTCTGTTTTGTATTTTTTCTTTACTATATTTATAAAATATGTATATGTATTAAAAAAAAAGTATCCTATAAAATAACTTGCATAATTACTTTGTTCAAGGAAAAACCCTTGATTACTTTCAAACGCGGAGAGGTGATAAAATTGCCATTAAAGCGGAAGAAGGGTCGTGTGTTTATCGAACCGGAATTAGCTAGCAATATTGTACCGAGTGAAGTGCGACCTGGCTTGAGTCTCGCTTCTGTTACCGGCGAGCTTGATGTCAAGGACAACGTGTATACTATAAAAGTATAATTACTAATGTGTATAAAGATAAATATGAATTTCATGGTCAAAATAAATATTACGATATGCTCTTTTATAGAAGATATTTTCAACTAAACAGATTTACTGGGAGAAAAAAGTGCAATATATTTTGTTTATACATAATTTCATTTCTAAATATGTAACATTTATAGAATATAGAGGATAAATTGTCTGGAAAGAGGAAAATGTCATTGGGTTCGCCTGCACCAATTATGGAGGAAGTGCTAAAGGAGAGAAAGCATGAGTACGGGAACTTGGATCCACAAGAATTGCTGCAAAAGCTCAATCAGGAAGGCTTTCATGGAGCCAAATTACAGCATAGTCCCACTTCTACGAGTATTCATTTGGTAGGATTTGATATCTCATTGACTTTTTCAATATAAATATAGAAAATAATCTTTTTCGATGATTATATAAACACAATCAATATAATTAAGAGAATTAATGTCTACTTGCAGCAAGACGAGGACACTTTGATTCAGATCGGAGATAACTCTACACACATTTTCTGCAATGGCGATCAAAAAATTCGTAAACGTCTCAGGAGTATAATAATGCAGTGTCTGAAAAGATTTTGAGGTACGATATACATTTATAACATTCTGATATTCTGTGAGACAATGTTTTATACTGCTATATCGTATTGTATATACATTTATATATAATTTATTATTTCAAAGCGTCTATATATTTATTTGTTTCATCATTCATTTTTATTCTATCTATGACATTAACTTGGGAATTATTTCTAAATTGACCATACTAGAAAAGATTTTTATTATCTAATTATGTTAAATAAGGGGCAGTTTAAATACTTTCAAACACAATATTTTTGACAAATATTGCTTAACATACATTTGACAATAATATAATAATGCTTTCCTACATATTTAATAACAAGTCAATTTAAGTCAAATTTCAGTTTCTATTATTGCTAGATTATTGCTAATAAGTGATTGAAATTTGTTAAATTTGCATTTGAATATCATTAAATAATTTTTATTGTAGATAATACATGTTAAGATTTGTATATATAAGTACAAACAATGCGATGTAAATATATGACGATTAGCAAATTAAATGTAAATAATGAAAGAAAAATTGGAATCACAATCCTTTATAATAATAAGTATACAATATTATTTTAATGATTTACATCCTAGAATGACTAATTTCTTGCTGCATTCTGAACGAACAAGAAACCTCTATCATTTCATATGCACGTGTTATATATTTTGATTTGCATATGTTCTATGCAAATGACAAAATTCAAGATTCTAAGATTCTTTTCATAAATACATTCCAAACTGTGCGCAAGTTTACAGGATAGAATAAAAATAAATAATATATTGAAGCGATACAAAAATTTCAATAAATTTCAATGCTATAAATAAGTTTTTTTTAAATTTTAGACGTCTAGAAAACATTAGGGACTTTCATTTGTTTGATGTATTAACTCTAGAGATGATAACGATGAGTAAAGTTTATTTTATTTATTGATCTTAAAATATGTTGGTCTTAAAATAGTTTATATAAACAGTTTGATTGAAACTATTCTGTCTATTCTTACTTCAGAATTTAAAAGAAGGAAAAATATTATAAGCAATTCTATAATGCATGAATAAGTTTTACTCATCGCTAACAATAGTGACAGACTAAAAAATAAAGGTATTTATCTAGGATTATTAAGCGTACTTCGCGCGACCCATTTCTTCAACACATTGATCTTGTTTCTTACCTCGTCCATGATTGTATTGTTATACTCGTCGACGACGTTGTCATGTGCGTCAATAGCAGTGGAGCAGCTGTCTTTTGACGCGACATGGATGTCGATCTTTCTCTTGGTTGCATTCAGAGTGCAGCAACTTATTACCTAGTTAGCTGTGGCGATACCGATCGCAACTCCCGCCACATATGAGACTAGAAAGAAATGGAATTCCGTTGGCTGGAAGCTATCGTTGCCGCCGGTCAACATGTGATACCAGCGTCGCGTATAGGTCTTCCCTTGTTTCAGCAATCGCTCGGCTTTATCCAGCTTTTTATCGACGAATCTCTCGGCCTGGAATGCAATAATGTTCATCAGTGACTCAGTGTGATATCGAAGCGGAGTTGGTAAAATCTGCACACCATAATTAATTTTATTAAATATTTTTATTGGGGACTATACAAAATTATAATGATATTGACAAAAATTGATATTAATTGTTATTGATATTGCCATATTAAATTTTAATATTGAATTAATATCATTCAATATGGATACTGTAAACGCAACAGTAATATGTATGATGACAACATACTAAACATTCGTTCACATTTTCGCATAAAACTTCAAAGTTATTGTTCTTTACTTCACCAAGATAGACCGATAATGAAACCGCCAAGAAAACTTGTGGCAATGTACGAGTTCTTCCTCCACAGTATCCCTACCTACAAACAACAATAGGAACATTACATTAAAAAAATTGTAAACTAAAAAATTATAAACAAGACAAGCAAAAATATTTTCTATAATTAGGAATGATTAAACGCAAACAATTTGTTAAGTTACAGTTGAAAATAAAGTTACAGATTTGAAATGATCTCTGTTAGAAGATAATCATAATATTTTTTAAAATATGTTTCTAGGAAGAAGTTTAAAAAAATAGGAAACTTTCAATCTTCAACTCAGTTTAGAGAAAGTACAAAATCTTTATGCAGCAACCTGACATTTGTCTCACCTTATCCATGAAATTTGGTCCTTCGCCGGTAATCTTTTCTTCCACTTTATCTGTTATTTTCTCGGCTTTACTCATAATCTTGTCCCAATTAATTTTTATGTAACCCTGATGTGCAGCTATTTGCAACATGATGATTCCACCACCGATTGCACAGGCTGCCACCTTCCCAATCTTCATGGTGACGAATCCAGTTACCCTATAAGTTACAAAGCAGTTAGTATGGAATATATGCCTAATAAGTATTAAACGCTCAGATACTTGAGAAATAAACAATTATGATAACAATTAAGGTACAAAATACGTACCATCCTGATGAGGTACCAATGATGATCTGTTTGGTCGCCGAAGATTTGCTCACATCACCCATGATTTTCTCTAAAAAGGATTTGGCTTCCTGTGAGGCATCTATACTGTAGGCTTCCTTGTTCGCGTCTTCTTTACTCTTTTTGGGTATTGGCATCTTGGTCCTGAAAAAAAAGTATGTGAAAATATAACAAAGAATTTATATCTTTAAAAGATTGGATAATTCATGTAACGTGCTCAGTGATCTTATAAATCAAGCAGGGTTTTAAAAAAGCTCCTTTTATATAATTTCTATGATTAAAAAGTCATACATGCGAGTGAAAGAAATATCAATGTAGAAAGTTTTACATACTTAATTGAAATACGAAAAGATGTTTCAACTATTAACTCTCTCAACTATTAACCTTTAAATTTGGAGTAAATTAAATAAAAAATAACAAATCCCTGATTGTTCCTAATAACAGTTGTTTTGTTAATCTTTAAGTGGATAAGTGAGGTAGCAACAGTATTCTAGGTATAGTTTTTCTAAAATCTTATTTTGGAAAAGGAAAACAAAAAAGTATTGCCCAGAAGTCTTAAAGTTTATTATTTTTATATTCATCTATCTCTAAGGTATGAAGTTTAATTTATAATGTGCTCTTTGCTTCTTGTTTTTTCCACATTTTTATCTTGCCTTTTTGCTTCTTATCCTATTTTTTTGTTTTCTGTCACTTGAGATAAAAGTTGCTGAACTTCAGAAATAATAAGAAACACACAGTAAATCATTACATTCTTGTTGTTTGTTGACATTACACAAGGATAAAATGATTCACTTTGTTCTTGCTAGAAAACATCTATGATTGTCGATAAAATAGATAAGAAGGAAAAAGGTAATAGATAAAAAGCATGAAACGGGAAGCGAAGAATACATTATAGATTAGGCTTTATGTAAATTTAATCACAACATAATATACTAGTAAAAAGTATAACTGTAGAATTAAAATTTTGTGATTAAAATTTTCTGAGCACCTTACTTGTTACATATCTTTTCTCTAAATTTATTGAAGTGAAATCTTGTTTTGAGCTAAGCCAGTCTTGAAAAACAGTGACTCAATTTTCAATCTTTAAAAGTAAGATTTTCACTCTGAAGATTTTAGAGACTCTTAAACCTACCTATTTAAAGGTTAACAACTATTCAATAATCATAATAATCGTAACAAAAGGATCACATGAGACGTTGGAAGTCGACATTATCCTTATTCTGCGAATTTGTGACGCAATAAAGTAAATGAAAACGTAATTATATCGATGACGAAGTTTCGAAAGGAAGTCAATAGCGATTGTTCTCAGAAAAGGAGAACGAAAAAGAAACGTCGTGGAATATCAAGGAATTCCCGTAAATTTCCAATTGGCTGTAACATTCAACGAATTTTAGGGGAAAACTAAACGATAAAGGGCTCTACCGTTTGAAAAGTTTCCTTATTCTCGAGCGGAAGACACTTCTATTCGGCATGAGTATCGAGCGTGTTTTTAGGTGTATGACGAGTCGTCTCGCGGACAGAAACGTTTTGCTTAGATCTATACAACATTTCAATAAGATATGAAATTTACCTATTCGACAATAAATTTTCACAGACGGTGACGAATGCGACGACGTCAGTTGAGCGACCTGTCAAATCGAATGTAAATTGACGTAAATACGGTACAATAATTTGGAGGGAGCCAGACGGCTCCCGAGAACCAAGTTTGCTCGTTTTAGTTGCACCTTCTGCACCTTGCTCGTTTCTGTTCCTCTTTCCTTTTATCTTTTGCTTCAACCTGAAACGTATTGTTTTTTTTTGTAGTATTTATGTTTTTTAATATACAACATATTTAAATCTATTTTTATTTGATTTTTTTTTACGTTTAAATTTGAATATTTGATTTGATTTTTATTTTTAGTTACTTTATAACTTAATTTATTAATTAAACTCCTGAAACTTTTTTTCTTAATACTTATATCTATTATGACTTATTTAAATATTACTATTATAGTATATTATCTACTTTTATATTTAGTCTTTTTATATTAATATCTGATATTTTGTTTCTTAGTCACTTTAAATATCATATCATATTAAATTTATCGATTAAATTTTTGCCTGAAATCTATTATCTATTTCTCGATATATGTAATATTCATCGTTAATTTTCGATAATCAAATGTCACTTAAAAAAAATAGTTAACATTGATCGAATAGCGGTGAATTTATTTTCTCGTATCTTATCGCATTCAAATCTACCGCGCTCGAAACTTAGAAATGGCTGACTTGACTCGGCCGCGCTCGGCGTTTGTCGATCACGCTCCGCCTTCGGCGCG